ATGAACTGACAGCAATCCTTTAATTTTCTACAAGTTATATTTCATGTACTGGAAGAAGCTCAAACTATGAAAGGAATTTCCCTACAACAAATCACAATTTGATTATAGTAGTAATTCAAAGAAAAATTCTGAAAGGAAAGGTAAAAAGTGAATACATAGTCTGATTAGGTGAGAAATTACAGCCCTCTAGACATTACAGAGAATTAAAATTAAAATAATTTAGATTCAAACATAGTACTTTTAAAAGTTTAAATTAAGATCTTTTTCCTAAAAACAAAATAATACTATTTTATGTAAGATGTGATGGTTGGCATCCCTACACTTTTAGTTTCGGTTATTGAACTTTTTAGTTTTAAAAACTCAAGCCTCCCTTAAACAGTCTTATATTTATTTAGTGTAAATCTTTATATTTGTAATTTATTATGGAAAGTTTTCAAATAAATTATCAGCATTTAAATGCATAATGTATCATGTAAATGTTAAATTCATCATATCTTGAAATATAAGTATTTGTGCCCAAATCACTTCTATAATCAAGAAGGAATGCACATTATCTTTAATTACTCCCCTTTTATTCATTTCAAAGGGAAAAGTGAATATTCAGAAATTAATAATAGAATCTCAGTTTCCACCTGAGAACTAAATAGGACACTGAACCCAGAGCTCTTGCTCCTATATCAGACTTGGACGTCAGGTGCTAATTCTTCTGAGGTGAAGTAACGAGGTCAGGGATGCACTGGTTAACTAACCTACAAAATACCTGGGAATGGAGCTTCAATTGAGTGCCAAACGATGCCAGAATGGCAACCTCAATGTCCCCAAGCTAATTATTTTAAAGTGAACTTTAGTATCACCAATAGATTTGATCCTGGAGTAGAAGAGAAGTTATGAAGCCAGCATGGAGAATAATTTTTCCACCATTTGGTATAGAAATCGCACACCACTTCCTCATTATTAGAGTTGAACAGCCTGAGTGGAAGAAAAGCCTTTTTTCCTATAAACCTTTAAATGCTATTTTCAACATGTGTTGTGAGGGTTATACATATATAATAGTAGTAATAGATGACATTATATCTTCCCACCACCTCAGCTTGCTAATGCTGAACTGGGAAGTAAGAGAGCTCAAGGAAATTTTTTATGTATTAAACATAATAGGTATCAATGGTATTTGATTATTAAATGCATAATACCTGTATTACCTAAACAATGGAAAAAATGGTTTTAGGTATTTTCTAGAATTTCAAAGATATGGATTTTACCCTTGGGCTTTGGGAAAAAATTAAAGCGTATTTTACTAGGTCTCTGATGTGGCATTGGCTGTAGTCCCTGGGGATTACACAAAATGGCAGAAATTACTTAGGAAATGGAAATACATGAAACACAGTTTTTATGAAAATATGTTTCAAGTTTTGCTAAATACCTAGAAATCCTTTACATACTTTGAAAATTCTAATAAAGAATCAAATTTCCAAACAGTTCAAAGTTAGAATGGGTATACTATTTTACTTCCTTTGAAGTAATCCACTAAAAAATAGTTTGCTAAAATATATATATTTTTTAAATATATATATATATAATATATAACTTATCAAACTTTTTTTTAAGTAGCCTCCAAGGCAAGTCAGCTCTTATGTCCATTATGAACATGTCAAGCTATAGAGACCACCCTTGGGGCTGAAGATGGCTAGAACAAACAGCATTAAAAGAATGTCAACATCAGTCCATCCTTTGCCAGAAAGGACCAGAGGTTAGCAATATCAGCCAGATGCTGCTTCCACATATCTAGCCAGGCCCTGGGGCAATACACTTGCTCAGGGCCCAAACTTGGCTTCCCACATGGTAGTATGACTGGCCACTACTCAGGCTTGAACAGTCCATGAACACAGCCTCTGATAATTTCTATATTTATAGAAAGCCAGAACATGCATAGATAATCACACAATTGGATATTTATGAAGTGCCAGATTTTATGAATACTGGAATTTGTTAATTAGCACAAGGACTAATCGTTAAAATTCAAAAAATAGAAAAATAAACAGGAATGCCATTTATTTATTAACATTTCAGGGGGAAGTACACAGCTGCTTTCTTTTTGATGAATGTAGGCTTCTGGAGGAAGAAAAAGGAAAAGTATCAGCAATTTTCAAAACCATAATGAGTAAAACCCAGGAATTCACTAGTCTGTATATCAAAAATAATCATAGCGATTCTACCCTCACGTTAGGGAAAAATAAAAGAAAGTTTAAATTGGCATGTGCTGAGCATTTGAATTATATTGTCTGGCATTCCACTGTTTTCATTCTTCTTGAAGAGCCAAAGCTGATTTTGAACGGATAGAAAGTTAAAAAGCACACCCGTCACTCAATACTAAATTGTTTTAGCTACAGGGGATGGCAAAGCATGAAATAACTGCTCTAGAGCACTTCCTCACGTGGGTGTATTAGATAACTGTCTGCTCCAACATTAAAATGAAACACACTATGACCTGACCAAGACTTCAGGATCTAAACAGGCAGATTCCATGTGCTAATAAGAAGAGCCCAGCAAAAGCATCAAGACCGGTAATGAATTTTGTTGGCACTCCATGACCCTCCTGTGACACAAGCTTTTCAGAGTCCACTGGTTTTGAGTTTACTTAGGCACATGTTACAATATTGTGCTGTATTTAGATTGTGAAAAGTCAATTCCCAAGAGGGCCACGATTATTTTACTAACTGAAAATATTTTTAAATAGCTGAGAATTATAATGTGAAAAAATATATACACATCCTAAAAAGTCAACCAACCATATAAAAAATAATTTTGCTTGCTTTTATTCTTCCTAGGCGGTAAAAAAGAAAATTTCACCTTCTCTGTGTCTCCATTTTTTGGTTTGCTTGAGATTAACATAAATATTCTTAACATGAATTATGGTAAATGTCACATCTACAATGAATCTGCCATTGCTTTAATTCATACATGTATTACAATATTACATAAATACACATATATACCCATAAATATTTCCACACACATATGTGCATAGACAAAAGAGAGTGGCTGCTTAAAATTTGCTTTTGAACGTAACCAAAAACCATTGAGTCGATTCCAACTCACAGTTCTAACCTTGCTAAATATGGGGAATGGAGGTACGTGACACGTGCTTTTGAAATGCCAGCTTTGAGCTAACTGTTTAAGTCAAGAGTCCTAAATGGAGACATTTTTTTTCTGTGTACCATATTAATAGAAACTTACAATAGTCTCTTCCAAAAGTTCTTTTTCAACCTTTGGGTGGGTGTGTGTGGTGGTTGGGGGTGGGGGTGGGGGTAGGGGAAAAAATGTCTTACAGCACCCGATTTAGTACATTTTGGATTGGTACTACCCTTGATTGAAATTAGCCTTGCCGGCTTAAAAGACAATTGAGGAAATATATACAAATTAAAAAGTCACAGAATAAATTTTTTAAAAGAAGAGGAGGGAAAAAGACTTTTAACAGCAAAAGTTCACCACCCTCCTTCAATAATGGATTTTTAATAAACATTTATTTCACTAGGTTTGAACCTTGAGGATGGGTAAAGGAATCTGCTCTAGTGTCCCAGGTGGGTTAAGAATATTGCTTTATGGACTTCTTTGTGTTGTCTGAGAAGCCTAATGGAATTTAAAAAAAAGAAAAGAAAAAGTCTGCCACTTCTGTTAAATAAATAATTTATTACAAATAAGGTGATTGTTATTATCAAAGATCTCTACAGTTCACCACCCATTTTCTGTCATTGCTTATGTTTATACTGAAAACATTTACATGTCTTACTATCTGACATAATTTGTATCAAGTGACCAGCAGGTTCTGACAAATTTGAATAAAACTCTATTAAAGAATCCATTTCAAATAGAACTATTAAACGGCCCTTTTGAGTTTCTAAGAACACTGTTCTGGGAAAACTCTTCAACAAGGTCAGCTAGTAGTGAAATGCAACTTTTCCCACCATGAAAAAAAAAAAGAAGAAAAGGAAAAAGAAAACATCTCAAAACTAGTTTGAAATAACAAATACATTATTTATAACCTCTGAAATGTTAAATGAATACTTACAGTCCTTGCACAAGATGGCCTGATATACTTCATAGCTTCTACTTTGTAAAAAGATGGTCACAGTCCCCCTGCTCCTCCCACCCCAGCATAAATAAACAGTAACATTCTCAAAGGAAACAGCTCTAGAATTAAAAACTGCTTGTTAGCAAAGTTTGCATTCTTACTAACCATAGTGATATCCCTATAAACGTAAAAGTCCATCTGCAAAAATAAGAGTTAGAGCACAAAGTACCTTATTCCTTTCAAAATACATCCCCCAGATGTATTACAGAAGACTGTGTGGTGATAAAAAAATAATTACTTGAGTCCCCCACCCCACCCCCCCGCCCCGCTTAGCTCCTACCCCTCACCACGGGGCCAGTGCCATCAAACAAATATGCTCACAAAATACTCAACCTGCTTCAAGGATTTAAACAGTAAATATGGACTTTAAACTTCAGTGTAAAACAAAGAACAAGAGTCTCACTTTAGTAATGCCCAGACTGGCACTGCAGCTAAAACTCACTGAAATGCCAACAAAACCCAGTTAGCAATAAATAAGGACAACATGATATATAGACAGACAGATGGAATTGCATAAACAGACAAGAAAAGCAAAGAGACTAACAAACATACAGAGGGGTCTGTTTTAGAAGAGTGAAAGATACTGATTTATTTTGTATTCTAGTGAGAAAAAATAAATAGGTTTGTTTTCAATTATTTTAAAAGTAATGAAACTGAATCACAAGGCACACCCTGGAATAAGTAGGGGGAAAATTAGTAGAGGGTAGGCCTCCTAAAAATACTCTGAATTTTAAGCTAGCTCTGTCAAACTTAAATAAATTAAAATTAAAGAGGGGAAAAAAGAAAAGCATTGGGGGCTAAAGGAGAGGCTAGGTGGAGAGGGGTGAATTGAGGAAGCAGTATTTTTTTTTATAAAAGTTGTCTGCCCTACCTTCTTCCCCAGCGCTGAGTTTCTCTTCTCAAAATCGGTGTCTCCCTGGAAGTACAGTGTGAGTGGTAATGACTGCCTGCCTCCCTAATGAGTCCATTTTCCTGCTCTTGATGTTGTGTATATACACACACTGCAACCTACCTTACAAACCACAGAGACGGGAAGAGAGAGAGAGCAACAGGGAGGGAGGGAGAGGGAAGGCAGGGAGAGAGGGAGAGAGAGAGAGAGAGAACACAAGCGAGTGAGAGAGAAGAGGGGAGAAAGAAAAACAGAAAGAAACAGAGGGAAACACAGACAAAGCCCTCCTCCTACCAGACAGCAGACAGCCCTCCTTCCCCTTTCCAGCAAAATGCAACTCGTCCTATGCAGCAACAGGTTCAGTATTGCCAGACTAACAGAGTGAAAAAGGTATATTTTCTATAACATTACTGCTTGCAAATAAACAGTTTAAGAGCAGCTGGCTCCACCTTCTTTATTTATGCTCCATTATGAGGAATGTATTGTTTCAGTTCTGGCACACAGTACATGTAATTATCATAAATACATTTTTTTGCATATTAGCAGAGAATAGTGAAATGCATAGCTTATTTGTGCAGCCTTTTAAATTTATTCTTTTTAATGTGAGAAGATTGTCAACAAATCTGCTCTGACAAAAGCCTAGGAATGATTCTAAAGTCAGAGCAGTCTTAAAGGAGGCTCTGTAAGAAGCAGACTCCAAACAATAGGAAAACTGATCTCAGACAAAACTGATAGCTGCAAAGAAGAAATCATTGCTCAGGAAATAAATCAAGACTATAAACAAAAATGCAGACAAAGGCAGAATTAAGTTTAATTAAGTCACGAAGAGACTAGTAATATATAAAGAAGGCAGAGTGGTTTCTTTTATTGGAAGCATCTATCTGTACAAACATCGCAATGCAATGTACTCTGTGTGAACAGGTGCACTGCATAGAGTACATAGTGTTACATCGACAGAAATAAATCCCATAAGGAGCTAGCCCAGCAAACAGGACAAGGTTTCATAGAATATAAGGCTGAAACTACAGCAGACACTCCTTGTTCTTTTATGAGTGGGCAGAAGTAAGAATTATAAAGGCTTCTAAACAGAGCTTCCTTAAAAGAAAAAAAGCAAACTGTTTTTCTTTGTCTGATACCTCTAACCAAATTTTATCACCTGCAAAAACTAAAACAATGCTGTGTTTACACTCCTCGCCCCATCACATGTTCCCTACCCCCATCCTCCCTCCAGAGGCCTTTTCTCCTCTGAGTGATATATTTGCAACTAAGGAATTAAAAACATCAGAAAATAAATCTAGATTCAAGCTATTCACCTTGTCCCTCAATTTTTCAAACTATTTTTCACAACTAGACTATGCTTGATGTGTCATGCCGTCTTTTAGCACTATACACACTGTCTCCCAGGTTATGGACATCTAACTTTAAGTACAATCCATAGTTAGGAGCCAACCGCACAAAGCCTAATAAAAATCCAAGGTACATACAATGGGTTTTAATAATAAATCCTTGATACTTTGTGACCTACATGAAAATATTATTACACTATTATTATGCTAAAGATGTTTCAGTGTTTCTTTAATGGCCTTTATACTGAGAGAGGCATACTATATACTAAGACAAACATTTGAGTAACAGTATAGATATGGTTATCAACTATACCTAACTGTTGCAGTTTATGTACAAATTTAAATAAAAGGCAGGCTTTAAAATGGAAGTTGTTTATAATCCAGGACTGCATGTGTTTACCTTCATACTCACTTTCTTTAGTATATGTCTATATAATTTGTCACTTTATAGGACTTAGGAATTATAGAATAGAGACTAAATTTTATGTAATAAACATTTTACTTAAGAAATATATTGAAAAAATGCATAAAAAAGGCATCCGAGCTACGGAAACCTTGGGATTTCAACAGCAATAATCCTAAATATGTTAGTTGTTGGTAGATACCATCAAGTCAGTTCCAACTCATAGCAACACGATGCACAACAGAACAAAACACTTCTTGATCAGATGTCATCCTAACAATTGCTCTTCTACTTCAGCCCATTGTTGCAGCCACCTTGTTGAGGGCCTTCTTTTATGCTGCCCTTCAACTTTACCAACTATAATGTCTTTTTCCAGGGACTGGACTCTCCTGACAACGTGTCCAAAGGATCTGAGACAAAGTCTCGCCATCCTAGCCTCTAACGAACATTCTGGCTACACTTCTTCCAAAACAGATCTGTTTGCTCTTTTGGAAGTCCATGGTGCTTTCAATATTCTTTGCCAGCACCATAGTTTAAATGCGTCGATTTGTCTTTGGTCTTCCTCTTTCAATATCCAACTTTCACATACATGTGAAGCAACCTAAAAACCACACGCTTGAGTCAGGGTTACCTCAGTCCTCCAAGTGACATCCTTGCTTTTCAACACTTGTGCAGCAGATTTACCTCTGGGATGACATCAAGAACATCATACATGAAGGAAGCAAAAGGTCATTACAAAGACAAGAAAAGAAAAAATCAAAGTGGATGCCAGAAGAGATTCTGAAACTAGCTCTTAATCGCAAAGTAGCTAAGGTAAATGGGAAAAATGATGAAGTCAAAGAGATGACAGAACATTTCAAAGATCAGCTTTGGAAAACAAAGTAAAATATTATAATGAAAAGTCCAAGAATCTACAGTTAGAAAACCAAAAAGGAAGAATACGCTCAGCATGTCTTAAACTGAAAGAACTAAAAACAATTTTTTTTAAATTCAGGCCTCAAGTTGCAATATTGAAATCCAAAGTATATTCATTGCAAAAGCTTTGTTTTTATGAGTTTTATATAACGTAGTGTTTTAGCATACCATAATCAGAATGTGTCCTGTTTCATGTTTATTATATACCTTTCAATTCCTTCATTTAAAAGGCTATTTTCAATTAATGAAATAAATAATTCAATTACTTCAATAGATAACATATATATTAATTTTATCTTCACTTGATTCCCAAAGATCTCATTAAGAATGTCATTTAAGTTTCCGGTCATCTTCAGAACACAAATCATTACTATTTGCATATATTTTAAGCTAGATAGCCTAAAGTATGAAATGAGAAGGGCAAAGTCAAGGTACGCATTATGCAGAGTGTACTGGGAAAGTTGTATTTTTAAAAAACAACAAGAATATAGACATTCAGGCATCATCAGAAACTAATAAATCTAATTATCTGTTGTTACACTAGGGTAAAGCAGGACACCATTGATAAAACTCATATCCTGGCGAAATAGCCACATGGCAGCCGAAAACCACATACCCTAGCTTGTCGTGCATTCTTTCCAAAAATCGGAACTTTTTAAAAACGCCACTTGACGCGGGAAAAATTGTTAAAAATCGGGACTGTCCCGCCAAAAGCGGAGCACATCTGGTCACCTTACACTAGGGCTCTATGCCTCTCAAGAGTGACTGCAAAAGGGAGAAGACACACAATGACAGTAATAAAATAGATCTCTAATTCTGGTCACATGTCTTAAGACAAATATTTCTAACATATAGTGAAGAGTGCTTAAAGTCCCAACATTCATACCACCCTTTACTGCTTAGCACAGCAATTCCATTTCATACTATTGAATTATTGTTTCTCTGAAGCTCCATTCAAATTTATTAAGAGAATTTACAATTAAAACAGCACATAAGCCTTACAGTGTGACAGACTGATTCACATTTGATATGTGTATGCACAGACATTTCAAAATTGGTATTATCTATTGGCTCATTCCATTTCAACCCCAAAACAAGAAGACAATGTTTGCTTTCTACCAGTAGGAGTTAAAACGCCTGTAAAGGACTAAGAAGGCTCTTTACTTTTTCTGAAGAACTAGCTAGCTAGATTTAGAAGAGAGAAGCAAATAATTTTTCTTAGTGGAAAACTGCATTGTATCTCAGTACTTTTTACATATCTTCCCACTTAACTAGATTCCAAGTGCAATAAATAGCACATTCTTAGTACTTTCTGGAGCTAAAGATATTCTTCCGTGCTCGGACTAGGGACATGGAAGACTGGAATTAACCATGACACCATATGAATCAACTGCTCAATCAAATGTCAGACTCCACAAATTAGCAAATTATTGAATTAAATTATTTCCTTTGTTGATATGCCCTGGGGCAATTTAATTTGGTCCTGTAGAAAGATACAAAAAAAAATCACTGCCATTGGGTAGATTTCAACTCATAATGACCCCGACTCATAATGACTATATATGATAGGGTAGAATTGCTCCTGTGGGTTTCTAAAACTGTAACTCTTTCCAGGAGTAGAAAAGCCTCATCTTTTTTCACAGGAGCAGCTGGTGGTTTTGAACTGCTTTCCTTGAGGTCAGCAGCCCAGTGTATAACCACTATGCCACCAGAGCTTCTTTAGTGAGTTAAAAATCTGTTCTAGACCCCATGTTACTACAAATAGTCCATATACCTTGGGCCAGTCACATAACCACATAGGGCTTTGGATTCCGGATAATAAAATAATAGAAACTAAAATTTAAAAGGAAGGAATTAGATAATACAATAATGATGATGCTGTGCCAGGTACTTTCTAGACTGTCCATAGGTTTAGACTCTATGTACTTAATCTCTAAAACATACAATCATCCAATTCCTATGATAGCAATGCCCTAGCTAGCCATAAGATTCTGTGGTTATGACTCAAATTCAACATGCCCGAATGAGTCCTCTTGATATTTTACTAATTAAGTCAGCACAGGGAAAATTTGTACTTCTAATGTATACCCAGAGCTCTCAATATATTTGAGAGTTTAATACTCTATCTAAAAGTTTGCATCACCTACAGTTTCCAGATGTCCATAAATAGTTGCTTTCATTTGTTTGAAGTGAAGATGAACTGAAATCAGTAAGGCTATTTTACAAAATGTATAAAACCTACTTGCAGTATAGTTTATATAGATTATCCTTCTGAATATTCTGTATTAAAAACAACAGAAACAACAAAGCCCTACATAGTCCTTAAAGGTTGCTTTAGTTCGAATCCAATTTCTAATAACAATGCAAATGATTGCTTAAACAACTAATTAAATAACAAATAAAACATTTCTTGTTTTCTACATCCTGAAAAAGGAATGAAAGAAAGCAAA